TTTGCTATATTATACCAATTGTTGAAAAAAATATCAGCATCTATTCTATTTTCCTGATAAATGTCATTATAGTTATAATCAATTGGCTGTACTTTAATTTGTATCTTACAGCTGTTAAACACTGCACAAATGGTTTTTTTTCTTCATGTAAATTAAAATCGAAATGCTTCATGTTTTAGTTTTTCTCATTTGTTTTTTCAAAAACATTCTTAACATTAACATTCTTAACAGTCTTAACATTCGCTAAAACTGCATTAAAGTGCATTTATCACAACTGTTTGCTGGATCTTCTGAACTCTATTGCATCTAAAAAAATTCTTAAAAAATTAACCTTTTCAGTTTATATGTAACACATTTCTACAAAATGTACTGTATGAATACAAATGTATTACTGCTGTAGCTGCCCCTGTTTAGGGTTGTGACCTGAAATGGTGGTGATTTTGCTGGGCAAACTCTATATATGCTTCCAAATTTGATTGGCAGGATTGTGATTCACATTTCATTACAACAGCAGGCCATTTGCTAATTTAGAAGATAATACAAACATTCAATGTCATGAAATAGACGTGCATCAGATTCTGTTTAAATGACTACTGACACAGAGCCACTAAAGTTTCTCTGAATCTCAAACGACGGTTGCATCTCTCAGGAGGATTGCAGTCTAAATGTCTCTGGCCATTACAACATGTAAGACAAAGTTTCGATGGAACTAATTCATCTGATTATGTAAAATAAGAAAGTTTTAACATCAGAAAGACAGATAGACGAATGCAACCCTGTCCCATGGGGGTATTTGTGTCTTCCGGGATGATTTGGGTCTAAGCTTGCACCATGCATCGGTCTGTCCTGTTTCACAATTCTGGTTTAGGAAACTCTTGGTCATGCCAAAACATTTCTTCACAACCAGGTTGACTACACACGCAATGACCACGGGGTGACCAGATGTCCATGTCGATTAAATCAGGCTGTGAACATTGCATTTGGACAGACAGACATTTACATGCACAAGAAACAATGGCTGTTAGGAAGATATGGAAGAAATTGAAGTCTTTAAACTGGCCGGTTGCTACGTCATTGTTTCAAATATAGTGCAAATATGAAATGCATGTGAACATTGGGTTGAAGGGAAACCCTTGATATGACTCTGCATTTGGTTAGAGTACCAAATAAAATAGGTCACATTTGTGAATGGTGTGTTTAGAGGGGAGGTATAAGGGAGTGTGTCACTAACCTGGAAACTTTGGCTCTCAGCTAGATTGACAAATTGGACATGCACTGAATAACCTGTGTCATGCCCTATGATAACACACTGAGGAGCTATTTATGATGCCCGAAGGCACAAATGGCATGGCGCGACGTTTTCATTGCATGGGAAGGCTTTCAAAAAGATCTAGATTTCTCATTTAACATGGAAAATCTGTCATGCTTTAGTGAAGGATTTCTGTCACCTGGTGGAAAACCATGAAAAAGACATGTAATTTCAACCATATGGCTGTAGAGTTAATCGTACTTTTTTAGGGGGGCTGGGTGGAAATTTATGGGGGCTAAAACCCTTCTGAATTGGGCCTAGTGACGAGTCTGATTCAAAGTATACTAAAAATAGCAAAGTATTAGCGAAATGATAATATTTTAAATTACTGATAGACTCTGTTCAATTTCACATTAATGCAATTATTTAATCAACCAATCACATTGCAGTTGCTTCAATGCATTTAGGGGTGTGGTCCTGGTCAAGACAATCTCCTGAACTCCAAACTGAATGTCAGAATGGGGAAGAAAGGTGATTTAAGCAATTTTGAGCGTGGCATGGTTGTTGGTGCGAGACGGGCCGGTCTGAGTATTTCACAATCTGCTCACTTACTGGGATTTCCACACACAACCATTTCTGCCTTTTTGCCAACCATGTTGCCTGGTCTGATGAGTCTCGATTTCTGTTGAGACATTCAGAATTTGGCGTAAACAGAATGAGAACATGGATCCATCATGCCTTGTTACCACTGTGCAGGCTGGTGGTGGTGGTGTAATGGTGTGGGGGATGTTTTCTTGGCACACTTTAGGCCCCTTAGTGCCAATTGGGCATCGTTTAAATGCCACGGCCTACCTGAGCATTGTTTTTGACAATGTCCATCCATTATGGCCACCATGTTCCCATCCTCTGATGGCTACTTCCAGCAGGATAATGCACCATGTCACAAAGCTTGAATCATTTCAAATTGGTTTCTTGTACATGTCAATGAGTTGACTGCACTAAAATGGCCCCCACAGTCACCAGATCTCAACCCAATAGAGCATCTTTGGGATGTGGTGGAATGGGAGTTTCGTGCCCTGGATGTGCATACCACAAATCTCCATCAACTGCAAGATGCTATCCTATCAATACGGGCCGACATTTCTAAAGAATGCTTTCAGCACCTTGTTGAATCAATGCCACGTAGAATTAAGGCAGTCTTGAAGGCAAAAGGGGGTCAAACATATATTAGTATGGTGTTCCTAATAATCCTTTAGGTGAGTGTATGGTAGTGCTTCTGTGTATATTGCGAAATAATACAAAACCGTTATAACAATTTAACATATAACAGAATTTTTCCTCTAATCTAATTTTTTTTAATGATTTTTTTTTTTTATCATTACCATGTCATCACCGAGGCTCCATAGGTAATCTGTCCAGTGGTCTAATGGCAGAGACAGTTGTTCTTAATGAAAGCCTTTCCAGGTATCTGCATGATAAGGACAGTACCTTGCATTAATCTTTGTGTACATCTTGATATGGGTTAGGGAACATGTGTGCATACTTCCATGTGTGTTTGCCAGGGTGTGGAGGTGTGTATGTCAACAAACATGTGGTATTTTTAAGACAATGTGTGAATTCATGTATTTTAAGATATGATCCTGAAGAAAAAGTTATTTAACATCAGGTTTGGCCTATAGAGGTCTTTTAAGGTAGTCTAACTTTTCCCATATCATGAATGGTGAAAAAAATCTTGTTTTAAATAGTGATTTCATATATATATATATATATTGCACTGGAGTAGATGTAATGATCTTGATATGGGATGTGTGCTATCTTGTCATGAAAATCTGGTATTTTCAGAACAAAAGAGCAAAGTACAAGAACACCAAAGGCTTATTATGCTTTTTATGATTTCAACAACACATTCTTGACATGAACACTTCAACATCAACACCTTCATAGTGCATGTAGTGTGGATGACAATTATTGCAAATAACAAAAACATTCTGTTCATGAAGAAGTAAACCATAAAAGAAAGAAGAAAAACAATACAGATGTTGGAAAAAACATTATCCCCATATCTCTTTGACCTTCAGAATAAAATATAAGACATATATGTTACTTTAGAAGCATTTACTGTAAGCTCTAAATCAGTACATGAATTAATGCCAACATATTAGGATTTATCTAATACTGTAGACCAAGGTTCAAAGACCAGCTAAATCATCTCAGCCAAATGGACCTTAGATATTGAGACTGTAACTACAAATTTGCAGTCTAGACTAAATGTATTTCCTCACCCAAGTTGGGTGATTATTGGCACTCAGTCTGCTGTGACATCTGGTATCAAATTCATAGTCAAATGTTGTAAAATATTACATTTTTATTATTAAAATATTTATTATTACTAATATTATAATATTTCATAAACTTCAATACTTAAAAAAAAACAATTATAATTGAAAATTACAACTGTAATTTGCTGTCGTCGTAACTGATTTGTGGGATGCACATCCAGGGCACGAAGCTCCCGTTCCACCACATCCCAAAGATGCTCTATTGGGTTGAGATCTGGTGACTGTGGGGGCCATTTTAGTGCAGTCAACTCATTGACATGTTCAAGAAACCAATTTGAATTGATTCGAGCTTTGTGACATGGTGCATTATCCTGCTGGAAGTAGCCATCAGAGGATGGGGACATGGTGGCCATAAAGGGATGGACATGGTCAGAAACAATACTCAGTTAGGCTATGGCATTTAAACGATCCCCAATTAGCACTAAGGGGCCTAAAGTGTGCCAAGAAAACATCCCCCACACCATTACACCACCACCCCCAGCCTGCACAGTGGTAACAAGGCATGATGGATCCATGTTCTCATTCTGAATACCATCTGAATGTCTCAACAGAAATCGAGACTCATCAGACCAGGCAACATTTTTCCAGTCTTTAACCGTCCAATTTTGGTGAGCTCTTGCCAATTGTCGCCTCTTTTTCCTATTTGTAGTGGAGATGAGTGGTACCCGGTGGGGTCTTCTGCTGTTGTAGCCCATCCGCCTCAAGGTTGTGCGTGTTGTGGCTTCACAAATGCTTTGCTGCATACCTCGGTTGTAACAAGTGGTTATTTCAGTCAAAGTTGCTCTTCTATCAGCTTGAATCAGTCGGCCCATTCTCCTCTGACCTCTGGCATCAACAAGGCATTTTCGCCCACAGTACTGGATGTTTTTCCCTTTTCAGACCATTCTTTGTAAACCCTAGAAATGGTTGTGCGTGAAAATAACAGTAACTGAGCAATTTGTGCAAAACTCAGACCGGCCCGTCTGGCACCAACAACCATGCCACACTCAAAATTACCTTTCTTTCCCATTCTGGCATTCAGTTTGGAGTTCAGGAGATTGTCTTGACCAGGAGCACACCCCTAAATGCATTGAAGCAACTGCCATATGATTGGTTGATTAGATAATTGCATTAATGAGAAATTAAATATATATTCCTAACAATCCTTTAGGTGAGTGTATGTCTATCCCTCACAGCCTCGCTTTCATTCCCTTTTAAAAAATATGGCGCTGCTGTGAATAAGGTCTATACTTCATAAATTTAAAATATGATTAATTAGGCTAATGAGTGTTTTTATAAACGGTGGACAATCAGTATTGGTCATTGGTCAAAAAAGTGTGGGAGAGGGGGTAAAGTATCCTCCACCTGATTGGCTGGGCGCCCATCTCCGTCCCAGTTTGCCTTGACAAACCTTTAAAACCTCCAGATCAGAAGAAGCGATAACCAGTCATAGGCAACAGTCCCAGCGGAGCCGTGTTGGGTTGACAGCAACAGCAACAGCCAGCTTGACTATTATCAGAAATTTATCAGACAGAATATTGATTTTTTTGGGGAAATAAAAACTTCTGACAGCTAAGGCGTTTACAGTTTGATTGATAGCGCGTTCGCCAGTCCTCCTCCAGAGCCGCTTAAATGACAAGCGCGTGCATGTGAGCTCGCGTTGACGCCAGTACAGAGAGGGATGCTGTAGAGCAGCTCAACTTCCACCAGCTCAACTTATTCTGTTTAATTTATCATTCGTGCCTTAACCATGAAGACCATACTCGCTGCATATTCCGGTGTCCAAAAGGGTAAGTAAAAGAAAGTGAAATAATTGCTGTTTTGCTCATTTCATTTGTTGTTCAAATAAAATTTTTAGCCTAATTTGACAGTTTTTCTATATTAAAAATAATTTAATCCTTACTTTATTCCATATAATAGTTTTTTGTGTAACAATCAGACACTTAGCGAGAGGGATAAAAGTGTTACATGAGCATTAGTGTCTTACTTCACAGTGTTTGTTGTTACGGGATTGAGTTGTCTTGTGATTTGATTCTAAAGAAAGTGTGTGTGCTTTAGTAGCCTACTGTATTAATTGTCTTTTCTGTTGGGGCTTTTTAAACTGTGTGCGTCAGTTTTTTTAATGAATTGGAGTTATTATACGGTGTTGGTTGTGTGTGTGCTCTGATTCTTAGGATATAAAAGCAAATATCTTTCTGTTTTAACCACAGCTGGTTGGTTATTACTGGTATGTTACTTCTTTGTCACAGTGATGATATGCATGACATTTATTCCCAGGCTTCAGACAGACCTTTAGTGTTGAGAACAAGCATTAATGGGTGTCCTTTAAATCCCGTAGGCTCAGGCTCCAGCATCCTCTCTGCTTTACATGACCTGCCGTCCGTCCCCTGGCTGACACGATCCAAGATCGTGAAACATCTGCAGATGATCTCCGTCCTGCAGTTTGTCATGACATTTCTTGCCATGGGTGAGTGAACAGTTAAGTTCTTTACGAGACTTAAATCGAAGGCTTAGAGAATTTACAATGTAGGACATTGTGCTGCCTTACTGAACTCGTATGAATTATTTTTGGTCGTTTATGAAGTCTGTCATTTCTCTTGTAGGCATTGGCTGCTCTCTGCTGCTTATGTACATGTTTTGCACTGACTTCTGGGTAATTGCCGCCGTTTACACGGCCTGGCTCATCTATGACTGGAACACCCCAAAACAAGGTACTGTCTTGATATGATTAAAGCACATCATGATTCAACCTGTTCAGGAGTGTGTGATGATTGTTCCGACTGTGTTTGCATTTGTTTTCTTTGTAAATGTTCCAACATCTTTATCTTAGGAGGCCGCAGATCGACCTGGGTGAGAAATTGGACTGTGTGGACATACTTTAGAGACTATTTTCCCATAAGAGTGAGTGACTTTACATCTTATACAACATTATGGTTTGAGTTCAAATGGCTCAGACACTGAACAGCTAAAGGCTAATAGTTAGGTAAACACAAAGATAAGCCTCTAACTGAGTTATAAAATGTATGGACTTTGCAAATCTAATAGTGCAAATCCTTATGGAGTCCTGCAGAGTTTAAGTTTAGATTTAAAAGGGACTGTTCACACAAAAATGAGTCTATTATTTACTCAGGTTAGTTTGTCTCTCTTTCATCAGAAAATGCGCTATTGTTCAAAATGTTGGGGTTGATAAGGTTTTGTAATGTTTTTGAAAGAAGTCTCTTATGCTCACCCAGACTGCATTTATATAAGCAGTAATAATGTGAAATATTATTACAATTTAAAATAACTGTTTTCTATTTCAAAAAGTAATGTGATGTCGAAGCTGAATTTTACTCCCTTCTTCAGTGTTACATGACTACAGTAATCATTAATATGTTGATTTGCTACTTTAAGACACATTTCATATTATTATCAGTGTTTATATTTATTTTAGATTTAATATTTTTTTTGTGGAAACTGATACATGTTCCAGGATTTTTTGGATTTAACGCATCTTTACTGACCCCATCTTTTGAACAATAGTGTAATTTGCATATTCTGATAAGCATGAAACATGCATTGATTGGTTTCGTCTTGTTCTTTTCTCTCCTTGACATTGCTGGATTGGGTGGATCTTGATGTGAGCTGTAAGAGCTCTGCTAGACTTTGCTCGTCCTGATCAGTCATGTTTTTCTGTTCGTCTTGTGTCATACTTCTGATATATGAACCAGAACACAAGGGCTCCATTGAACAACATAGGTGAAACAGGAACTCAAAAACATTTTGGAATAAAACAAATATCTGCTTGAGGAACGGAAAAGTGAACTGTGACCTCTGTGACTCACTTTATAAATTCAGTCTTAAAATATGGTACTATTTAAATGCAAATCTTAATTTGAAGTATTCATATTTAACTAAAATTCTTAATACAAAGGACTCTCTCAAAGGAATTCCCTGCATAAATTTACCTTGCAGTACACATAGAGCATTTGAGTCACATGATGAGATCATCACTTTGCCTACTGTTATAGTGTGTGCCAGCAGTGATAAGAGTGAGGAGAAATAAGGTCAGCTGTGATTAAAAATTGTCTATATGAAAAGTGTGATAGATATGGGAATGATTAAAGGAGTAGTTCACTTTTGAAAAAACTTTTGCTGAGAATCTCCCCCATGTCATCCAAGATATCCATGTCATTCTTTCTTCAGTCGAAAAGAAATTAAGGTTTTTGATGAACACATTCCAGGATTTTTCTCCATATAATGGACTTCAATGGGAACCAAATGGTCCAAGGTCCAGAAGACCTACAAACTGTTCAAAGGGCTTTAAATGATTGCAGACGATGAATAGGGGTCTTATCGATCGAAACGATCGCTCATTTAGTAAATAAATAAAAAAGTTTAAGTTTGCTCTGTTCTGTGACACATATTTGTGACTCTCCTGTTCGAACTCGTTCATCAAAAGGAACAAATCTTTTTCCGAGTCATTTGGCTCATTCAACGAACGAAACGAACAAATTGATTCGGAAAAGATTCATTCATTTTGATGAACGAGTTCGAACAGGAGAGTCACGAACATGCATCGCAGAACAGAGCAAGGCGAGCATTTGAGCTTATAAAACTTAAACTTTGTTATTATTTTATTAAATGAGCAATCATTTCGCTTGATAAGACCCTTATTCATCGTCTAAAATCATTTAAAGCCCTTTGAACAGTTTGCACTGAAACTGTATTTTGGACCTTGAACCGTTTGGTTCCCATTGAAGTCCATTATATGGAGAAAAATCCTGGAATGTTTTCATCAAAAGCCTTCATTTCTTTTCGACTGAAGAAAGAAAGACGTGGACATCTTGGATGACATGGGGTGAGTAAATTATCTGCAAAAGTTTTTTGAAAAGTGAACTACTCCTTTAAAATGGATAATTTATCTTAAAATGGCAATTATGTCATACATTACTCACCCTGGTGTTGTCCTAATGCTGTATGTCCTTCTTTCTTATATGGACCACAAAAGGAGATTCTTTTAAAAACGTATCTTTAAAGTGAAAGTGAATAGCGAACAGCATCAGTCTTTTAAAAAAAAGACGCAAGCGCATCACAGAATCATCCGATGTAAACACATGTTGTATATGAAATATACAATATGTGTCACATGGGATACTTTAGTGTGTGTTTTTTTAGAAAGCTTAATGCTGGTTGCTATTCACTGCCATTAGATCCATAAAAGAAAGAAGGGCATAATATGGCATGAGGGTGATTCATTTTCATTTTTGGGTGACCTATCTCTTTAAGGTGTGGTTAGGGCGAATTGTCATGGTCAAAATCATTAATTCATCAGTCATCTAATAAATGAATACACACAATTGTGAATTTCTCTTGAGGGCGAAACATTTCCTCACCCATATTTCGCAAAGAGTTGAAATCGGTCACGAAATTTCGCCGTGATGACCAACAGAAACCTTGTTTTGGCAACATCACAACACCATATTATTGTGGAAAGAATAATATTAATTTGTTGTATGATAAATGTGTTGTTTTGAGTGTAAGATTTTGAAAAACTAGCAACTGCACCTGCAAACGTACAAAAGGCTAGACTTTTACCTCCAGATGGTTACACTACATCTTAAAACCTTTGATTTTTTCATCCGTTAATGTCATTATGTAACACTGACTGCTGTTTATGAAACGAAGATAAGCAGCTCTTACGTATTTACAGCTTCTTGTACAGTACATACTCATTCAACTCATTAACTGTTGCTCCGTTTTATCTACTGCGAATATTAATAAGGCATGTCTGTCCTTAGTTATCTGCTAAAAATATTATGTACTGTTTTAGAACAGCTGATAAGTGCTTAATGATAAGAAAATCTGTTCGTGAACAATATAATGTACACATGCCTTTACCTAGATAAAGTGTCCTAAATCTAGGAGGTCTTTTGAAAATGCAATATATAGCTATTAGTTCAAATGAAGTTGTTTAACAAGTTAAGTTAATAATTTCTCACTGTGAAATTTAAGCATTGCATAGAAACAATGCAAATGAAGTAATCTCCTGCTTCATTTTTCTCTGATTATTTGCAGCTCATCAAGACGCATAACCTGCTCCCTAGCCGAAACTACGTTTTTGGCTACCATCCTCATGGCATCTTCTGTTTTGGTGGTTTTTGTAACTTCGGGACAGAGGCCACCGGATTCTCCAAGATATTCCCCGGGATTAAGCCATCTCTTGCCACATTGGCTGGAAACTTCCGCTTGCCAGTGTTTAGGGATTACCTGATGTCTGGAGGTACCTTACTAGTTATTTTATGGATTAAACCAGAGGCGTAGAATTCAGTAGGGACGCTAGGAATGTGTCCCTACCAATATCCAGTGACAATAGCAATAATTTCAATTAAAACTTAAAATATATTTATATATTTATAGGCAGGTTTCAGCAGCAGTTGATGTCCCCGTCTCCACCAATTTCAAAATCAAACCTTGTACCTTTTCAAAAGATACACTTTTGTACCTAAAGGTTGCATATTGGTACCTTAATGGTACATTAGCACCTAAAATTAGCACCTAAAAATGTACATAATAGTACCTACATGTACATATTAGCACCTAAAATGTCAATATTAGCACCTAAAATGTCAATAATAGCACCTAAAATGTACTTATTAGCACCTAAAATGTCAATACCAAAAATGTACATTATTAGCACCTAAAATGTACTTATTAGCACCTAAAATGTCAATAATGGCATCTAAAATGTACATATTAGCACCTAAAATGTACATAATAACACCTAAAATTCACCTAAAATGGACAAAAGTTTACCTTTTGAAAAGGTACAACCCAAGTGACAGTTTTTTTGTACCTTTTTTCTGAGAGTGTTGGACAGGTAAGAAAGTAAGTAAATTTCTCCCCCAAAAAAAAGGAAAGTAAATTTCTCAATGCAGGAAGTTTGTTTTTTTGTCTGATTAAAAAAAGGACCATAGTTGCTCTCTGTGGTGTAGATAAGAATCCTGTAGTCAAGGACCTCTGAGCTTTGTCCTATTGCGTACAGAGACACAGTCCAGCATTGCTGTAGTGCTGATGTCAATATTTTTTGGAGAACTGCTGCTGAAACCTGCCCTATGTACCCACTGATTGATAGACTATTCCTCCACCCTATTATAAGAAACAAACATCAATAGTTTCTTTAAAAAACAAATGTCAAATATTTTCCTCAAAATTCCAATATAATATAATATAATATAATATAATATAATATAATATAATATAATATAATATAATATAATATAATATAATAATGCCAAAGGTCTGACACTATACTCTCCCGTCACTCAGGTATCTGCCCTGTAAATCAAAACTCCATTGACTACCTCCTGTCTAGTAACGGCACTGGCAACGCTGTGGTCATCGTGATCGGAGGGGCTGCCGAATCTTTGGACTGTGCTCCGGGGATGAATGCCGTCACGCTGAAAAAACGCAAAGGCTTTGTGAAACTGGCCCTCAAGCATGGGTGAGAACCGCAAATCATTTTCCTCACCACCTTCCCAGTATTGTTTATGGAAGCGTATTGCATTCACTTTGTTTTTCTCAATTAATGAGTTAATTGTCTCAGAATTACAAGATCATAATTCAAGGATTTTTTTTGCTCTGTTTTTCTGAATTAATGACTTGATTTTCTGAGACAATTAACTCATTAATTCAGAAAAACAGTAGATTGTTTTTCTTCAAGTGAATGCAATATGCTTTCAGTTCTGTTCAGGTTTTCTTGGTCATCATCAGGGTTTTTGCAGGTGAAGCAACACAAAGCAGAAAGTAGTTTGAAGTGAAGTATTAAGCCAGTGTTTTATAATCATAAAACGTGGAGAAACAACAAGAACTTTGCTAATGGAACTACATCATTACAAAGCAATGCCTAATAATACACTGAAAATCCCCAAATCTCAAAGAAGCTTACAAGAAAAGTGCTTTTGAATAAATTGATTATGATTGAAAATGTGTATTATGATAACTTTTTAACTTCTTGTTCCCCTCTCAGAGCTGATCTGGTGCCCGTCTACTCATTTGGTGAGAATGAGGTTTACAAACAGCTGATTTTCAACGATGGTTCTTGGTGGCGTGTGGTTCAAAAGAGGTTTCAGAAGATGTTAGGCTTTGCCCCGTGCCTGTTTCATGGTTGTGGACTGTTCTTCCCAGAGTCATGGGGTTTTGTACCTTACTGCAAACCCATCACTACTGTTGGTGAGTGACACCAAACAGACGTTTTATGGCCATTTTTCTCTATCTAGGTAATCAAGATGTTAGCCTTTTGCAAAATTAGATTTTTAGAGTTTAAAAGAGTAAATTATACATATATACAGTTGTAATTTTCTTAAATTATCAACCCCCATTGCAAATCAGCTTTATTGGCAAAAATTACAGACTTTTAGCTTTTTGCAATGAATAAATCCAACAAAAGTAATTTAAATTGCATAACAAAAAAATGTTTCAAGTGTTTTCCGCATATAACCTCCTGAATACAACAGCAGGTGTTCAAGGTAATCAAGGGTTTCATTAGTTGCACCAGGTGAGCTTGAGCTAGAACACATGAAATATATGAACTGGCTACACTTTAAAAAATGCTGGGTTGTTTTAACCCAATTTTGGGTAAAATATGGCCAAACCCAACCATTGGGTTAAAAATGTCATTTAAAAAATGTAACCCAAGGCCGGGTTTGTGCATACAGTATTTTACCCAAAACTGGGTTAAAACAACCCAGCATTTTTTAGAGTGGGTTTGTTGAGCTGCATCTTAGAAATATGACTAAAGCCCTATTCGCACGGGATAAGTATCACCTGGTGACCTCTAGTCATTTGTAATAATTACGTAGGTTGTCTGAGATCTTTATCCCGTGCGAATCGGCCATGTCTATAATAATTCTCCCGCAAATGACCGACCATATTTCGCCGAAAACGTAGCTCCTGTGATAATATTAGTCCTGTGCAAATCGACATCTCTGTGATCTGGCGGGGTCGTTTATATTTTTTTTTCAAAGTTTTTTTTTTTTTTTATCCATCTTTCAATGAAGAATAGAGGCTGCGTTGGAGTGTTTTGATAGTATTTTGGGTGCTGGGTCATATCGTGACCCAGAGAAAGCTGAAAAACAAAAAGAATGATTAGATGGAGATGATTGACATGTATAGCAGGGCAATTCTTCTGTTTATTATATACAGCTAGACATAATAACGACAAGACATTTCCAAGCTATAGCCTAATGACATCATATCCGGGAGATAAGTCAGTAAATTCGAGTAAAATCACAGGCTTCGCTTATCCCGTGCGAATGCGCCACATGAAATTCAGATGTGGGTGGGTATTTTCAAATTCACACGAGGTCCCCAGATAATACTAATCCCGTGCGAATAGGGCTTTTGTCAAAAGAATGGTCCAAAAAGTTAAGTTCACCCTTAGTTAAAGCAAGTACTAAAGATGTTTGCTATAAAGGGGATGGATAATTATGAGAAGTCATTCAAAGTTGCATTTTCAGTTGAAATTGTTGAAACAAACAACTTGCGTTGAGCTATTTCAATTACTTTTGTTTGATTTATTCATTGCAAACAGCTGAAAATGCACATTTTGCCAATAATAAACCTGATTTTGCAATGAGGGTTGAATAATTTTGATCACAAATACAGTGTATAATACATTATACATTATATATGTTTATTTACAGGTTTAATGCTTATGGTAAATAGAATTAATATGTGTCTATTTGAATTGTACTAGATATTCTGCTTATTCTAAGGGCTATGCATGGGTAATGAGACATAAAAATATCTAGAAAAGACCTAAAATAGTTTTATAAAGTTCAAGGACAGTCTCTCTATTGATAAAACTGCTCTTTCAGCATACGGTCAATATTTCCTGACATCAGAATCCCATTATTGGTTAAAATTTAGACATTTGTTGACATGAACTTGGTAGCGTTTAATGCTCTGTCAATGAACTTGATAAAAAAACACTTCTCTCTTCTACAGTTGGTGAACCCATCACAGTCCCGAAAATCGAGGAGCCGAGTCAGGACGTCATAGATATGTACCATGATATGTACATCAGGTCCCTCAAGTCTCTCTTTGACAATTACAAGGCTCGTTTTGGTCTAAATGAGAGTGACATCCTTCTAATTCAATGAAAGAATACATTGAAGAATTGTAATAACTTTATAAAAGAACACACTGGAACATCCGCCTATAACTAAAGTGCCTGTTCAGAGAAGGTGAAAGAAATCAATGCGGTTTCTATTCATTCAATGGTGTAAACAGTACTGAAATGTACCGTTCTACATGGGATGCAGGGAATCTAGCCTGTGTCACTTCTGCTCATCGCCACCGGGTGGCAATCTACAATAAATACTTCGCAGACGGCTGCCTAGTATAATCTCGATTTCTCAGATGGTGGATGTATATTCCTCAATATATGGCAATATATATATTACAAGTAATGTATTAAATATTTAATTTAAATGCTGTACTAGATAAAAGTGTTTGCCCTATTGTATTATTTTTAATGCACATGCAATGCAATTATTGGGAGTTTTGCTTTACTAAAAAGCCAAAGGGTGGTTGTGTAACCAAAGAGTGGAGATGGATTTTGGCCTTGTGTTATATAGCAACTAACCAAAAAGGAAAATTGTGACTCAATTGTTGGAATAATACGTCGGAATGAAGGACAGGAAAGTTTGCTTTTAAGAAAATGATCCGATAGCTCGAAGGTTAAAGTGAAGTCTAGGAGGTGAAGATGATAATGAATTTCTGTAAATGTGTGACAGTATTATCAGAATACTGGTTATCTTTCTGTAACACTTGATAATTTACCACAGAAGTATTAATTTTGCACATGTTTTGTTAAGCTCAAGCAAATTGTTTACTGACGTTTGCAAAGTTCAGTTTTCACCTTGACATCAACATTTGTCCCAGTTACAAGTATCAGGTAATTATTCCAAAAGCAAATGCTTGAAAGACCTCAAACATGTGTTTGCATGCCAAATCAAACAAGCCTTTTTTTTGGAATATCAATTAACCTGAATTCAAGTGCCAAGTACACGTGCAATCATATTTGAGAGAACACATTTTTATTGTGATTTTGTATGTAAATGGATTCAGGGGACCTGCAGCTCTTGATTGGTTTATAATATGCAATACATGCTGACATTTAACCAAGGATCGTGACTTATGAATATGGAATAAATTCTGCAGCGTCCATCTCTGATATCAGCCTTCATTTATGTACATGAAATCCTGATTCTTTGAATTCAACTTTTGTATATTTTCTGAATAAACGGAAAAGTACCATGTGCTGTCTTGTTTTGAGCCGTAACACTGTCTTTGTATGACATATAACAGAAAATGTTCTCTTATTCCTGTTTTAAAACCTTTATTTATGCAACAGTTAGAGATTATTAGTGGTTAAATTAATCAATAAGGCTGTATGGCCAAATCAGTATTCTCTTCACAAATTAAACATAATAAATGTTTGTTTTACTTTTGTAAAAATTTAAATATGCATTTAATAAACCAACTAACAGAAAACCCCAGGATATGTTTAAGGTAGAGAATATTATAGGATTTATTACAGCATGTAAAGTCTCAAGATGTATTAATAAAGCAACTAGTGTACCACTTTTGTAGGGCAGAAAAGTGTCACTGTCTGGGACTTATTTGATTGGCTTAAAGTGAGGTGGGGCACATAGCCATGAATGAAAGATTTCTAATTATTTATCTAGGTCACTAATTGTTTACTTTTTATGTTAAATATTTATTTTACAAACTGAGGCCTTAAAATTATGATCTAGAAATTGTATGATTTGTTTAATCATTTTTTCCCCAAATATCTTATTTATTTATTATTATTTATTATTTATATTATTTATTTATATATTAGTTTACTCTCTCTTTTTTGCTTTTAGTTTATTTTTTCATGTTATAATGAGTAGGCCTATGCATGATTAATAATGTAGTCTGTACGGACTTCATATATGTTCACATGCAATGTTTTTTTTTTACTTTTTTTTTGACTGCAATAAAAAAATGAAAAATAAAATAAAATGAAACATTCTTTTAAAATGAACAGAAATGAACTAGGTCCGTAAAACTTGTAATTTGTAATTTGGCTTAGTTGGGCAATGGCGCCCCCTTGTGCTTCATGGAGAATTCTACTTCATATAATACTACTACTACTACTAATAATAATGAAAATACAAATACTAATAAAAGTTATTTATTGATTATTAATAAAATTAGTCTTTAATTTGTAGTAATTTATTTTAAAAAAATCTTTGTTTTTAAAAGATTTTAAAAGAACTACACTTTTGTCGTTTTATAAATTCGTGGAACATGCCCGTTTATTTCACATTATTTTATGCTGGTATCAATGCAATGCTCACCCAGATATTAAAATAAGGGGAATAAACTGGTAACTGGTCACGTTACCCCTCGCTTCCTCATTTTTTCTACGAACTAGTGCACAGCATGAGTTTCTAAAGGCCTCCTCCCGCCCTTTTCCATTTGATTGACAAGCTCTACACCAATCAACGTAGAATACCCATTTACGTCACCGAGTTTCTGTTTTAGTGACAGCTTCCTCAGCGAATAGGCACGTAGCGAGGGTTTGGCGATCAAGGTCGCGGTAATGGCTTCCTAGGCAAGACTTACTTTGTTTATGCCGCCGTGTGGACCCTAGCAGCTGTGTTTAGTGTGCTTAATGTACATTATAATACAAACCTGCACGTTTTTGAAGAAAGTTCAGAATCTGACACCTTCGTACCGGAAGTTTCTCGCCGATGGGGCTGAGTTGTATGGCTGAATGAGGCTATCGCCTATGATAGCGTAAAAGGATGAACTCAATCGCCGGTCGGGATCTCGCAGTGTCCGCTGGAGCTGTCAGCAGCAACCCCGGAGCAGGGTCCTCCAGAGTCCTGCATGTGGAGCTCACATCACAACAGGTAACGTTACACCTGCAGTCCCAGCCTAATGCTCCATATGTGCGCGCGAACATCTAGCGGATCTTCTTGTGCATGTGTCACATGTCACCGGATGATCATAACACACTGGGCCTCCATGTCCAGTCAAGCTCTGGTCCACATTTACGACTGCAGTGGGGTTTTCAATTCAAATAGACATTTCGGAAGCAACTAATAACTAAGCGCTGGCTTGTTCATGTCAGAAATACCAGAGCGGTTTCACAGTGTAGTGTAGTCTTATCACTGTGGTGGGTCTCCAAACTCAAAACACATATATATACAAAATAGACCAGAGAGCTTCCTAATATTTATTGTTCATGCTTAAAATACTTTGAAACTGCCTAGGAAGGTAGTGCTGGTGCTGTCTTATGGAGTGAGCTGTGCTTATCTAATTTGCACTGCAGCTTGACAGCACTGACTTAAATGACTATCAATGATGTCATACTTACACATTGGCAAACATTGTTTGGGGGCTCTGCAAAGATAAACCATTGTTATCAATGTTTGGTTCCTTTGGTTTCATGTTACAGTCTATTATTGACATTTTAATGGTTTATCAACAACAACAAACAAACAAACAAACGAAAAAAACAGTTATTTTTGTTGATAGTATGTATTTTAATTTATACCTTTTTATTAAAAATTCTTTGCAATTAAGGGTTTAAGGATTTTAAGATTGCATATAGTGTAGTATTGTTGATGTAATGCTTGAGATGTTAGAGAGTAGTTTTGATTGTGTGTGTGTTGTAACAATTGCAATGGTGCAATGTTGCACAATACACACAGTGCACATACATGGCCTGAAGCTGTCCTAACTGAGAGTGTAGACCTCAGTTTTGCGGTTTAATCACCACTGGTTCCCGTGAAGTGTTTTGGGGATCGCAGGGTTTCCTGTTAAGTCGTGTCCGTTGATGACTTGGCATTCTGCAGAGAAATGTTGCTTTACTTAATGCTGCGAACATGGGGCTGGAGTTATGTTTTAGCATTGCTTTAAGTAAAGAGCGTTTTCTTGCAGGAAGAACTCACTTTGAATGTTTGCTATATAAAATAATACATCATATTAAATATTTAAATTTAAGTAAATTTTTTTTTTAGATATAAATATGTACTGGTAACTGCAGCACATGAAAATATACTAATGGCAATATCAATGTGAATATTTTAAATGTAATATTGCCATTGGTATATTCCTGTGTCCCGCTGCAATATATACCAGTAATATTGATGCTGTCAAATAGAAAGATGCTCGTAATTACTGTATGATTTGACGGCTTCATGCAGACTTGTATGATTAATTAAAATAAAACTGAAAGTGTGACATGGACTCAAACACAACATGCACAAAACATGCAACCTCTTGTAAAGAAAAGCACTACCCTCCCTCCACCCAAAAAGACCTAAATGGTTTATGAAAATGAAGAAATTAAGACATTAATATTAGTATTGTATTTTTACAGTTGTACTGCAAAATAAAATATTAATAATTAAATCAATTTTTGTTTACAGGGCAATATTACAGTATTTATTATTTTGTTGAATTTTGTAATAATAAGTAATAATTAATACTATAATTATTTTTATTTTATAATCATTGATAAAAAGTAATCAAATATTTTGAGTTACAAACAAGCACTACAATCACATTTTTAATTGCAAACACAACATTTATCAGAAATAAACATTCTCATTGTTGAGAGCATCTGATTGGACAAAAGTCTATATTGCAAGATGAGTCATCAGTAGCCTATATATTTAGTCCATTTACAAGAAAAATCGTCATCTTCATCTTTTATTCAAATATTATAAAATACTACTTTGTAAGCACATTGCATAGTTGTGCTTAATTGGAGTGAATTGTTTTATTTGTTATAATGCAATGAAACATGGCAAATTGTGTGGACATAATTTTCAAAAGTCGCGTTATGTGAACAGGACCTTACGCGGCAGTTGTGGAGACACTGGGAAGTTTTGATTTTAAGTCGACAGCTGCACAATTCAGCACTGCAACACAGCGTAAAAAGTAGCCTAAAATGACTCGAGACAATGTTATATGCCTAGTCATTTGTTTGTTCCAGTTCATTTGATAAGGAGTCATTTCACGGTGGCCAATTTTAATGTTACCAGCTAAATGAGACAAACTGAGAGTGTATCATTAAGTTGGCTTGAGTAAAAACAATAGACCATTTTGCAAGATGTAAACAAACAACACTGGTCCAGAAGCACTTCCTGTTTCAGTTTTTTAACACTACACAAAAGCTACAACCAACAGAACATATAAAACTGAATCAAAAAGTTAAACAAACATCTTTAAGATGTTTTCTTTACATGTGAAATAAAGAAAACAGTTACGAACTGAAACAGGAAGTGTTTCTGGACCAGTGTTGTTTACATCTTGCAAAATAGGCTACTATTCAGGGATAGGGGGCTTGGTTTGTTAAACTGTGAATGTGAAACCATGGTAAAAACAATTGTTTCAAACCAATTTGAAAGTTAGGCTAAAAAAACATGTTGCATTCAATACGGACTGATTGTCTTTTTTTTTTGTTACATAGCCTGCCTCCAGTTTTGACTAACTAAGAGGCGATATTTTACCGCCAAAATGTCCGTAAAATGTCCGTAAACTCTGGAATAGACATAACCATACAAATCAAACCTGGTTTAGATCAGGTTCACAACGCTCAATATAAACGCTCTCTGTCAATTCAGTTTTGATCCAGAGTTTGCTCAAACTAATCTCAAACGTACCTGACCGGATTCGTGCAACAGACCTCAATTCTGCTTTTTTTTTAAAAAATGGCATGATTTTTATCAGGAACACTGAAATGTGAAACCAAATATGAAGTCCCTATCACATGATGGGGGTTGTTAGAGCTTGTCACACCTGTCTGAGGTTAATTTTTCTGGAAATGGTTGTTATGACACCAATTTCTTTGGCAGTTACACTTATAAACTTGCACTTATGCACTTATAAACTACCCTCCCCCCACCCAAAAAGAGCTAGATGGTTTAAAATATGAAAATGAAAAAATTAACACATTAATATTAGTATTCAGTCCCTCCAGAATTTCACGATTTTTTTGTTGTGATTTTTGCGATCAAAATGACTGATTTTGTGGTGGTAATTTCCAAAAATTTGTGAAAAAATTTGCGATTTATATATAACAGTTACCATAATAGTATTGTATTTTTACAGTTGTACTGCAAAATAAAATATTAATAATTCAATCAATTTTTGTTTTACAGCGCAATATTACAGTATTTATTATTTTGTTGAATATTGTAATTAATTTAGTAATAATTTAATAATTATAAGTAATAATTAATACTATAATTATTATTATTATCACTACTATTATTATTTTATAATCATTGATAAGTAATCAAATATTTTTCATATCATCAAAATGTCCGTAGTGGAAACTCTGGAGTAGACATAACCATACAAATCAAACCTAGATCAGGTTCACAACGCTCAATATAAACGCTCTCTGTCAACTCGGTTTTGATCCAGAGTTTGCTCAAACTAATCTCAAACGTACCTGACCGGCTTTATGCAACAGAAGCTTAAAAATGGCATGATTTTTTATCAGGAACACTGAAATGTGAAACCAGATATGAAGTCCCTATCACATGATGGGGGTTGTTAGAGCTTGTCACACCTGTCTGAGGTTTATTTTTCTGGAAATGGTTGTTTATGACACCAATTTCTTTGGCAGTTACACAGCCACTTGTGACACTCTTATTGCCTGAGGCAAAGTCTTAAAGGACCACTGTTAAATGGACTACAGATAACCTCGTTCACACCCTTGAACACCATTCATTTGTTTTCCTGCAGAAAAGCATTTTTTTGTTCAATGTGATATAATTTATCAAATTTAGAGAATGAAGTCATGCTTGATGTTTCGCTTTCATTTTAAATGTTTGAAACAGCTGCAAAGTGCAAACTGCCTAATAAGGGAAAGTGGATCGTATGCTAGCTTCCTTGGCTAATTCTGCTAACCTACTAACATTTACCATTCAACCAAACTGACCCTGGATATTCCTCAGTGTTTTGTTGTCTGAAAAAAGATAGAAATGGGGGAAAAAACTGAACAAAGTGTGGTGTTGTTCCTGCAGCTTCAATAATCCTGTGGGCCATCCCATGACTCAGATTTAGTATTTAATGCCTCACGGTCGGCACTGGAAATTCTTTGTGGCTGGTTGTGATGAAAGCTGGTCAGGTGAAGACTTTAGTGCGCTGAACTCTCAGATTAAGTGTTTCATTGAAACGGCTGCGCCTGTGCCTTAAATCTGGACCTTGTGAATGGTGACTCAGGACTTTCTCTCCATCTCATTTTGTATCTGTTATTTATTAATAACTTTAGTTTTTGAATAAACAAGGGTTTTTAATGCCACAGAATCACAATTATGATGACTATCCCTTTCCAAAATATAAAGAATAATGGTGCGTTTTTCATGTTGACCAATATATTGCCAATATCTGCCAATTTTTTTCAGCTTATACATTTTTCAGTTTGGTCGATGTTTTGGAATTATAATTTTTTTGAAGGTCCAGTGCTTACGCATCCAGGTTCACATAACTCTGTTGTCATAATTTCACCATCTCTGTTTAACCCGTCTATTATCTTTGGGTCAATTTGACCCCATTCATTGTTTAACGTCTGTAAATATTATTCTTTTTTTGCTTCAGTTCAGATTGAATGACTTTTCTACGGAAGAGGATGAGGGCCAAGCAATAAAAAAATAAATAAAACTATCTCGAGATTAAAGTCATTAAAATGCGAGATTAAACTCGTTAAATTTCGAGAAAAAAAAGTCGAAATACAATCTTGAGAATAAACTCATTAAATATTGAGATTAAAGTCATTATAATGCGAGATTAAACTCATTACATTTAAAAAGTCGAAATACAATCTTGAGAATAAACTCATTAAATAGCGAGAATAAAGTCGTTGTGTTTCGAGAAAAAAATCGTTAAATTTCGAGAAAAAAGTCGTAATATAATATTGAGAATAAACTCATTAAATATCTAGAATAAAGTCATTCTTTTTCGAGAAAAAAAATCGTTAAATTTCAAGTAAAAATTCAAAATACATTCTCAAGATTGTATTTCGACTTTTTGCTCGAAATTTAACGAGTCAACAAAGATATAAATTACCTGAGACAAACCTTTGTAAAAAAAAAAAAAATTATATTGTGGAGGTTTAAATTAGGTAAAAAATGTTATCAGATTTGAAGGTAACAGGAGAGAGAACAGTTCTGTCTAATAAATGATTAGATAGAGCTGTTAAACAAAGAAAGTAAATGGTAAATGAAAAAGTATAATGGCATTTGCTTTTCTTTTATTATAGAATAGCAAATGCCATAATTCTTTATGATCTACCGTCAGCATTAATTAAATAAGCATTTATTGTGAGTCTTTGAATAACTAAATACACATTTAAAGGGATAGATCACCCAAAAATGCATATTTTGTCCTCGTGTCACCCTCAAGTTGTTCCAAACCTGCACGAGTTTCTTTTTTTCTGTTACACAAAAAAGACGTTTTGAAAAATGTTGGTAATCAAACAGTCGACTGTAGACATTGAGACTCACAATGAGACCAACGATGTTGTTTCGTTTTGTGCCTGTCCTGTGTGTTAGTCTGTTCCTGTTCACTGTCAGTTGCTTGTGATGGAAAATGGAGAACTGCAAAACATTCAGAATTTAGCGCGTTCAACATCCAGCACATGACATCACCTATTAAAAAAAAAAAATCTTAAGAAATAGCTGAGAAATGTCATGATGTATTCCCAATTGCTTGCTTAAATGGCACTCTCAAAAACCATCGTACATGCATTACTTTGAAAGATTTGAAAAATCTTTACTGTTGATGTACGGCTTGTGAAAGTAGTAAAGTAAAAATAAAATTGAATTTGAAAGTCATTTTTAAAAAATTTGATTGTCTTTCTCACTAAATGTCTTTCTGTCTTTGTCCCAACAGAGGCGTTTGCGTCACTTGCGGAGCATAGCGGCCCGTAACATTGTGAACAAGAATGGCTCTCCTCTGCTTGACACTTACTTCAGCCTTCACCTCTGCCAGGAAGAACGGATATCACGAGGTGACTGATGCTAGCTGAGCTTGCTGGGACTCTCTGACTGTTCGCCTAATTTAGTACTTAAAGGAGTAGTTCACTTAAAAAAAAACTTTGCTGATAATTTACTCACCCACATGTCATCCAAGATGTCCATGTCTTTCTTTCTTCAGTCGAACAGAAATTTATGTTTTTGATGAAAACATTCCAGCATTTTTCTCTCGAACCAGACGGTTCAAGGTCCAAATGAGAGTTTCAGTGCAAATGGCTTTAAACGATTCCAGACGATGAATAAGGGTCTTATCTAGTGAAACGATTGGTCATTTCAAAAATAAATAAAAAAGTTTAAGTTTTATAAGCTCAAATGCGCGCCTTGCTCTGTTCTGTGATGCGCGTTCGTGACTCTCCTGTTCGAACTCGCTCATCAAAATGAACAAATCTTTTTTTTGAGTCATTTGGTTCATTCAACGAACGAAATGATTGAAATGACTCAAAAAGATTCTTTCATTTTTGATGAACGAGTTTGATCAAGAGAGTCACGAAATCCTGGAATGTTTTCATCAAATTTCGAATTAATTAATTTCTTTTCGACTGAAGAAAGAATGACATGGACATCTTGGATGACATGGGGGTGAGTAAATTATTAGCAAAAGTTAGTTAAAAGTCAACTACTTTAAAACTGCAGTGCGTAATTTCTGTGTCATAAGTGACACCAAACAAATTTTTCAATTTTTCCATTTTTTTTTCACATTTTTTCCATATCAAAGAGATGGCCCCACCCCTAAAGTCACGCTATTGGTTGAGCTGTTGTCTGGGACTGCTTAAATAAACACTACAATGTTTTAATAGCAATTTAGTATTTACACTTTACACATTCGGGGAGATCAACCTGGAGATTTGTGTACTTGGTTATCTCAGTGTATTTTGCAGTTGGATATTAAAAGCCAACAGTTATGCTAAGCAGCTTTAAACTAATGAGAATTTTAACTCTTTAAATGAATGACCCGTATATAGTATTAATTTTCACAATATACCCTTTCCCTTCCCTAATGGACAGTAATGTAGTAAAAGATGGGCTGGTTGTAGTTTTTGTGGAATTAACTTTTTTAGCATTTATTTGAAATAGAAATCTTTTGTCACATTGCAAGTGTCTTTACTGTCACTTTTGATCAAATGAATGTGTCCTTGCTGAATAAACATATACAGAAGTGTGTAAGTCACTCTGATTTAAAAGCTTTTGTATGACTTCTAACTTGCTTCTTTTTCCTTTTCCAGATTTTTATAAGAGCGAAGTCATCCGAGACTCATTGGTAAGTGCTTTTGTTTGGTCATGCGATTTAATGCTTATTATTTAAAATTTGTGAAATGGTAGATGGAGCACAGCATATCACAGCTTAGTAGCGTGGTGTAGCTTAACGTGTTATAGCGTTGCATATCAGCATCGTCTCCATCGGATAATAAAAGTGAATGTCTTTTGGTTTATTCACTAATGTCCTCAATGTCTGTTATGCCTTATGGGACTGCTGAAAAATTAGCAATGGTAGCAATAGCTTTCATAGTTCATTTATGAAACCATTTCCATTCATTTAAGGTGATATAGAATTCACAATTTGACCCATGTGACTGGTTTTGTGGTCCACAAATGACAAATCTACCCTCTCACCTACACAAAAAGGCATTGTCATTTACTTATATAAAATCGAAATTGACTTTTTTTGTGCTCACACCACTAACCTTTGACTTTTGAAACAATTCCTTATTTTAGTTCGCCAAGAAGGCCTCCGAGCCACTGGTCCAGAAACACCTGTTTCAGTTTGTAACTGTTTTCTTTAATTCACATGTAAAGAAAAAATCTTAAAGATGTTTTTTTTTTTTACTTTTTGATTCAGTTTTATATGTTCTGTTGGTTGTATTTTATCCCAGCTTTTATGTAGTGTTAAAACTGAAACAGGAAGTGCTTCTGGACCAAGTGTTGTTTACATCTTGGTCTTATAGTCCATACTAGTATATATACTATATATACGCAACAGATAGACCTACCCAGCTCGTATGTAAACAAATCACACGTGGCTGTGTTGATGGCTGATTTAGTCACTGTGATAGATGAGACCAGTAAAGGATAAAAGAACACGGAGGCAACAGGCTACTGCAAACGTTTAGGGGATTATTTCCATAGGATGGGGTTACAAAAGTAAAGCCAATGCTAACCCAATGGTGGAAAACCAAACATACCAAAAATCAAATAACAACAACAAAAAAATACAATAATGATGGGTCACTGCATTTGACAAACACCTCAAATAATACTATCAAATGACTTCTGTTAATAAATATACTTCTTATAAACAAACAAAAGAAAAGCAAGCAAGCAAAATAGTCCTTTGAGTTCCCCCGGAGAAGAAACCGGAAACCGGAGTGGTTGTGGCCCGATCACCGGAACCATATAAATACGTCCAATGTTTCCGCTCGAACCCCTTTAGATGGTGCACCAGCTCACGGGACCGACGTATTAAACAAACAAACAAAAAGAACGGTAAGAATAAACTTAAACGTTAAAGAGTGTGCTCACTTAACTCCAAACGAAAGTTTAAATAAAGTTTATTAAACCAAAATAATGTTGTTATGTATTCTTTACTGTAAACAAATTCCATGAAATTCTCAAACTTAACTTACCTGACCCAGGCTCACCAACATCCGCCACAGTCACGTAGACAGGTCTTAACAGCTTTTAGTTACAGCGTTCAGGAACCGTTACTTATGAACTAAATTAATAATGTTGGTAAAGTTGCCGGGTACCGGACATTTTCTCACCGGTTCCCAACATGCACAGTTGCACACGCACACACATCTGTGCAACTCTCATTGTAGCCTACATTAGCGTTACATAGAGTGCCGAAGTTACGACGTTACTCTGTAGGCCAAAACGCGGTAGTGATCTATGGGTAGTAAAAGTCTAAAAATAGTAAAAACAATTTCGTAAAAGGGAAACTACTCTGCCAGGGATTGCATCTAAAACAATAGCATATTATTTTGGCCTCACAGGAATCACGAATTTATTGAGAAATTCAGGATATGTTACAAGTAAACCTTGTTCATTAAGCAACGGATTAACATTGAGGATTCCATTGTCGTACCATGTCTGATTAAAGATTGACTTTTTCTTGTACAAGATATCTTTGTTGTTCCATATGAAGTATCGATGCGGTGAAAAATTGTTTTTTCTATATTAATTGCCAAGCCAGCAGTGGCTACTTATGAAAATTTGACAGTTTAACAGGGATTTTATCTACTGAGAAATTACATTTTAAAATAAAATTAATGCCACTCAAAGAGTTAAATATGTAATTTGGGAAAACATTCCATATACTATCTTTATTTTTTAATAAATTCGATTATCCATTTTATTTTAGACACAACCATGCGCCACTAGCTTCCGAGTTGTCCTACAAAGTGACGTCATCACTTCAGCACGCTATTATCTCATCCCATCTCACCAACGGATTAATGCTCGCACATCCAAACGTAGTCAGAAAAGGTTGGGTGTTAATTTCAGGCCCTGTTAGTGATGTTTAAATGTATATAATATGTGTATTCAAACATGCTAAAAATACTATTTTAATGAGCTCAATGTAACTACTGTTTTTTTCTGACACACACAACATATTTTCTTCTTTAACCTCTAACCTTCTTGTCCCACTCTGCCTCCTTTTTTGTTTCTTCATTTCCCTTCCTTTACGGCCTTCCTGTACGTCCTTCCGCTGTTCATTTACGTGATCATGCCTTCATTTCAGGCCCTCTGGTGGTCATGTTGATGGCTGTTTTCAGTGTTTTGTATTTATTTCTGCTGACCTAGTCACTGCGATGGTAGTTTTGTCAGCTGCACATCCTCTTGGAGAAAGACCCTCTTTAGCCTCCAGACTGCATGACGGGAAAGTTTTGCAAATCTGTTTCTGCTGTTAGTCTTTGAAAGCTTGGCGTGCTGCGTCTTTGACCACACTTATGCATTATTAATGAAGTCGATATGTCCAACAGCTTTAATTGCTGGTCTATTTGATCATATATTGGCTGCATTTTTGGCTGTATTAGTTTAATAAAGGGATAGTTCACTTTGAAATTAATTTTTGGTATGTTTTAGCTGTAGATGTAGGTGTCTTTGTTTCCGCAGTAGTTTCAAATTTGATATTTTTAGGTCAAACCATTTCTGTCTGTCAGTCATATAATGGAGGTCTATGGTCACCACCTCAAAGAGCATGCACAGAGAAGTCCAAATTGCATTATATGACTGACAGACACGAACGGTTTGACCTAAAAATATCAAAATTGAAACTACTGAGGAAACAAAGACACCTGCATCTTGGATGCCCATGAGGTAAGCTAAAACATATCAAAAATTAATTTCAGATCTGCTAGCAGAGATGTTACTCACAAAGTACCCTTGCAGGGTCGAAAATTAACATGGCCTCCCATTGGTACGCACACACTTTATTTACATTACAACGTGAGGTACACAAAGGTAACGGTAACACTTTACAATAAGGTTCATTATTAGTTAACATTAGTTAATGTATTTACTAACATGCACTGACTAACCATGAGCAATACATTTGTTACTGCATTTGTTCATCTTTGTTAATGTTAGTTCATGAAAATACAGCTGTTCATTGTTTGTTCATGTTAGTTCACGGACCACGGTGCATTAACTAATGTTAACAAGATTTTAATGAAGTATTAGTAAATGTTGAAAATAACATTAACAAAGATGAACAAATGCTGTATATGTGCTATTCATTATTAGTTCATATTAACTAATGTAGTTAACTAATGTTAACTAACGAACCTTATTGTAAAGTGTTACCAAGGTAACACTACATTGCAACGTGAGGTCTCTGCCATGAATCTTTTATTGACAGCTTTGTTGGTTATAATGTAAGGATTCACGTTTTGAGCATATTCTGTCAAATTAAACATGTCTGATTGGCCATTGCGTTCACACTCTCAACAGATATGTCAGTGATTGGCTGCTAACATCAACACTCTGAAAATTGTGAAAATTAATATATTGTAAAGCAGTTGGCTATAAACCCTGTTCATGTTTTTTTGCTTGTAAATTTTTCAGAACCCGACATGGCGGAGCTTAGATTTTGCCATGCTGCCGGACCTCTTGGACATGTCTGTGTCGTGTTTTGTGGTGAGAATATGGGGTGGGAGGGAAGAACAATACCAACTGCTTATTGAGTGGAAGGTCAACCTAGATGGTCTCAGATACACAGGACAACAGGTGAGTTGTCAAAATGTGTTATATCTCTTGCTTTCCTTTTTCTATTCTCTACCAAGTATGTTTTGCTTTTCTTTTATGAACATCTAGTTTCCTGAAGTGTATTGTTCTAAGATTTGATTTAAGTTTTATGAGGGAAAATAAATGTAAATATGTTTCGAATTCCTGAGTAACATTCCAAGTTCAATATGTATAAAATCATACAACACTTTTATGTTTAATTGTAGTAGCGATAATAATTATAATATGTATTATTATATTACACTGTAAAAAATGGCAGTAGAAAAACAGAAAAGGTATTTTCTGCAGAATAGTTAATTAGTTATACCCTAAAACACAATGCAATGCATAATTCAATATATGGGCAAAACACCTGTGAAAAAAACAACATGGAAAATTCCTTCATATAATGTACATTGGGTCCTTTTTTCATGTCCTATTTTTACTAATAATCATTATTATTATATATAATTGATATATATATATATATAATTGCAACCTCCCAAAACACCCTATCAACAACCTAGCAGCCATCCAGAATACCCTAGCAACCACACAGAACCCTAGTAACCACTCAGAACACCCTAGCAACCAGCCAAAACCCTAGCAACCACCCAGTACACCTTAGCAACCGCCTAGCAACACCATAGCAACCACCCAGAACACCCTAGCAACCGCCTAGGAACCACTCAGAACACCCTAGCAACCACCTGAACAACATAAATAAGCCATATCTCCACACCAGATCATCGTACAGACATGTATTTTGACTCGTATGCAATCATGTATCACACTCTAGCAACCGAGTGATGAGTTTTGCCATTGCAAGCACAACTTCACATTTTCTTCTGGAAATGTACATTCTAGTTAATGTATATAATTCTATAAATTCTGCTTCAGGTTCACATCACATCCCAAAAATCCTTTAACATTTTTCTTTTCTCTCCATCTCTTTTCTTTTCAGATTCGCTCCAGAAATCCAAATGAGATCATCTTTGGACTGAATGACGGCTACTATGCAGCTGAGTTTGATCAGAAGGTATTGTTCAAACTCTTGGTATGGGTTCCAAAATAAATTCCAGACTATCTTCAAACCTTGTCATCTATCAGAGCTTGAATTCACTTCTATCTCTTGGGTTTTTCAACCTGTAGAATCTTTCACATGGTGAGAAGAAACTCTTTGTGAAGCTCATGGACGGTTTTCTTTCCCACAGGAGAATTCTGACAAGAAGAAGAACAGTTTGCTCCAGGTGGACCAGAGCTCTGTCAGAAACTCCTACAGTGTTTTCTCTTTACTGAGGTGAGAGAAGACTCAATGGAATATATCATGGAAAAAAGGCCTTTTTTACCTTTTATTTTACATTAACATTCACAATGCAATCAAATTAAATCATATGCAAGTGTAGAGTATGGCCATTTCGAATGTACACTGTACAAAAAAATATGTTCTTGATTCATTTTTTCTTTTGTCAAATCAACTTAAATAATTTATGCCATTCAGATAACATAATATTTTGAGTTTCTGGTGATTAAATCAATCTCCTTCATTGTATTAACTCATTTTTTCCCATTTCAATGAACTTACATTTTTAAGGAGACCAGTTTACATAATTTTTTAAGTTAAACCAACATTTTTTTTACAGTGCACAATTGCCATATATAATTAAAAGTAAGATCTCCTTTGATTATTGATAGATCTGCAGTACTTTGACTGTATTCACACACTGTAAAAAAATATGTTCATGATTTATAATCACAATTTTTTTTCTTTTGTCAAATCAACTTAAATAGTTTATGTGGTTCAGATAACATACTATTTTGAGTTTCTAATGATTAAATCAATCTCCTTCATTGTATTAACTAATTTTTTCCATTTTAATGAACTTAAATAATATTTTTTTACAGTGTACAATTGCCATATATAATTAAAAGTAAGATCTCCTTTGATTAATAATACATCTGCAGTACTTTGACTGTATTGACACATCGCTGACCATTGCGAAAAGAATTTAAATTTCGTTCCTACAGGACTAGCATTTGCTCTTAACATATGTTCAGCTCCAATTTGAAAGTTACTTTCCAGAATTGTATTATCTTCCAATTTGAGACCCAGAAGCAGTTCCCATCTTAGACAAAAGCTCCTTTCCTCGTCCGCCAGATAGCGCTCTGTGTTTTTTTTCCTCTTTCGAATTGGACCCCTGCTGCAGGGTGGCGTCTCGTTCTTCAGCCAAAGATGACTGATGTTTTTTTGCAGTCTTGGATAACCGTAATCCTTGGTTGAAAGACCTGATGGATGAGGAGAGCAGGAAATCAAGGAAGAAAAATTAGTCCACCCTTGTCAGGGTATTGGCAGACCTCTCCAAACCCAGTGAAGTTGAATGTTGGCTCAATGTTCTGCTGTAGCTTCGTTGCACCACTAGATGGCAACAGCTCTCTGCTAATACCAATATGTTTTGTAACGAAATGAAACCTGAGAGAAGGGAGGCACTTTGGAGAGGGTTAATTAACTGACACACTTCCCGTATTCAGATTTTTCTGTGTGAACACATCTGCAGGATTACAACATCAAAATGACATCTATCTAAAGAATGTCTTTGATCCCACAGATGTTAAGAAACACACAAGCACCCGTTTTCCCGAACCTTCATTCATGCGCACCTCAATGGGCATGTGCAGATTTTGTTGTGTGGATGTAGGGCGGTGTTGTAGTGGGGTGATATAGAGTTAGCAGGAGGCTGACGCTCGTGTTTCTGAGTCTCTTGGTAGTCTTGACTATGAGTCCGAAATCTTATGCATTGGTCGCATGTTTGTATAAACGCACGACTGACGGAAACATGCACGGGATGCATTATTCTAGCTTTTTTGTAACTCTTATTTTGAGGATATTTGTGTGGAAAATGAACAATGGCAAAAAAAAAAATATGATTCGTTCCAACAATTGAACAATTCCTCTTAACCATTCCAGGTCCCACTTTATATTAAGTGTACTTGCATTGAAAAATAAGTAAATAATGTTGTATTGTAAAACTCTTCTGCTGCTATTGAGGTGTGATACGGGTAAGGTTAGGGACAGGTGTGGTGGTATGGGTAGGTTTAAGGGTAGGTTAAAGTGTAAGGGATGGGTCAGCGGTGTAATTACAGATGAAATTACATAAATTAGTTACAGCTGTAATGACATGCTTGTATTTTTAAAATATAAGTACAATTTAAAAACATGTGTGTACACAATAAGTCCATTGTATCAAATTATTCGTTTCAATGTAAGTGCATAGTACTTAGATAGATGGATAGATAGATAGATAGATAGATAGATAGAGAATTTAAAACTATACTCGAAAAGGGTGTTTACAGTGGGTTTTCAATGACTTTACAGTATTTTTTAGAGGCAGCATAAATGCAATCCATTCATAAATAAATAGTCCTTAAATGTATAAAAAACAACAATAACTAATCAAATAAAAAATGGTAACATCTCATTCATTTATTTTATAAAATACCACTGAAAAACTGCACAATGTGGTTCTTTAATTATACGTTGTTACATTGGTAACTGCAAAGAACTGACCTAATGAGTCATTTTTTTTCAGTAATCTGATTACACTGGCTGCACTAGGCTATATGATTTTGATTCACTAAAGTGAACATGCACACAATATTCATTCACTGAATCAAATTACACTGGCTGCACTATATGTTTTTGATTCACTAAAGTGAACATGCTCATAAGATTCATTCACTGAATCAGACTACACTTGCTGCACTGTGTGTTTTTGATCCCCTTAAAAGAACCGGTTCATACGGTTTATTCTTTCTGAAATTGGACTATACAGGTTTGTATGTGTTAAATCGCTTTAAAATACCAGATTCACGAGAGTTGATTAGTTTGGGAATCAAATAACACAGTAGGATGTTTTTAATTCACTTAAAAGTGCTGGCCTCATAAGAGTTATTTTGTTTGGGAATCAGACTACATTGCGTGTGCTTGATTTCACATTAAAGAAAAGATTCATTAGCGTCATTCATTCGGAAGTTGGACTAAACTGGCTTATGTTTTATGAACTGGTTCTTTTTAATAAGGGTCATCTCTCTATAATTGGACTATACGTACTTGTCTGTTTTGTAATTTCGTTCATCGTAAAATTTCGTTTGATTTGCTTTTCTGTTTTGCCGTCAATCTTCTGTGTGTTTCAGTTAGACGGACAGAAATACAGAGAGAAGAAACGGTTGGTGTGTAAAGTCTGTACAACTCTTGGCCAAACTCCTCTCCTTGTGTCCGGGTTGAATGGGCGGATGGCGGCGGTGGTTATCAGCACTTAGGAAACATTTGGTTTGATTGACAGTGCCGTGTTGTCAGCGATTAACTCAACCTGACGATCTTTAAGTAGGAATAATACAGAGAGGAAAAGAGGAAAAACAAGAAATCAGAGTAGTTAGTCTTCTAATAAAATGAATCATTAATCTGAAGAGAAATGTTTCCTCTCCATGTGCGATTTATGCTACTCTAGGGTGGGCAGCCCGTCAGTCATGCTTTAACGGGCCACTCGTGGGAAAAAAGTGTGATTCGGTGATCTAAATCAGTCAGAGTTGTTGTAAGGGGTGTTTTCTTTTGCATTTGTTTTATGATTGTGTGTTAGTGGGCCAAAGTAGCTTTTTGTCTTTGGAAAAGGTGTTTGCTGTTTCTCCTGGTTCTTTGGTTCTTGGTTCCTTCCCGTATTTTCTTATTCAGGAAATGTTCTCAGTGTGGCTTATGTAAGCCAAAGGAAATTCCTGCTTGCGTATGAATTCAACTTTTTTATCTCCCATCACCCCCTCTCAGCTGGTTCATACTGGGAATAATCAACACATGATGCTTTCCAAATCCTTTTTCTATCATAACTAGACTAGTATTCTTTGTAACATGACTAAATCTAATATTTCACTCAAGAATCATACATCAATATTTTGGGAGAACTATTCTTTTAAGATGTTCAGTTAGCTCAAAATTATTTTAAAGCATTCCATGTTCTTTTTTAAAGGAGTAGTTCACTTTTGAAAACTTTTGCTGATAATTTACTCACCCCCATTTCATCCAAGATGTCCATGTCTTTCTTTCTTCAGTCGAAAAGAAATTAAGGTTTTGGATGAAAATATTCCAGGATTTTCTCCATATAATGGGCTTCAATGGGAACCAAACGGTTCAAGGTCCAAAAGACACTTTCAGTACAAACTGCAAACTGTTCAAAGGGCTTTAGACGATTCCAGATGATGAATAAGGGTCTTATCAAGCGAAACGATCGCTCATTTAATAAATAAATAACAAAGTTTAAGTTTTATAAGCTCAAATGCTCGCCTTGCTGTGTACTGTGTGACTCTCCTGTTCGAACTCGTTCATCAAAATGAACAAATCGTTTTCCGAGTCATTTGGTTCATTCAATGAACAAAACGAACAAATTGACTCGTAAAAAGATTTGTTCATTTTGATAAACGAGTTCGAACAGGAGAGTCACAAACGTGTATCACAGAACAGAGCAAGGCGAGCATTTGAGCTTATAAAACTCAAACTTTGTTATATTATTTATTAAATGAGCGATCGTTTCGCTTAGACCCTTCACCGCCTGGAATCGTTTAAAGCCCTTTGAACAGTTTGCAGTTTGTTCTGAAAGTTTCTTTTGGACCTTGAACCGTTTGGTTCCCATTGAAGTCCATTATATGGAGAAAAATCCTGGAATGTTTTCATCAAAAACCTTAATTTCTGTTCGACTAAAGAAAGAAAGACGTGGACATCTTGGATGACATGGGGGTGAGTAAATTATCAGTAAAATTTTTTTCAAAAGAGAACAACTCCTTTAAGATGGATTCCCCTCACTCTCCCATCAATAAAGTAGCAAGTGAAGAACAGTGGCGGCGTTGTACGGCAAAGTTCAGGGAGTAGAGTGTGACCCGGTGGTTGCTGCGGTGATAAGCCTTTCCTGCTTTTAGCGCCTTTCAACAGGTCGACGGGTCGTACGCTCCCCCGCCGAAGGGCATAGTTCTGGACCGGATTATCGGGTACGGCTTTAGCAGCTGGGTTCATGCTAGCCCCTTAAAACCCTAAAGCAACAACCTTCAGGACCGGTAACGCCTGCCATGCCTTACGGAAAAACAAACTCGTCCTTAAGCTCCGCGTCGCCTGGCTGAAAATGGATGCTAGTGTTTTGGTCTCTCAGGGCTTTGTGGGAGGCTGTGGTAATAATAGTGTAGAGGGATATTGGAGCCCTGCTTATAGAGAAGCTTTAATAAAGGGATAAAAGCGCATCAGCTTCTCTCCATCACCTTCTACAC